GTCCTGCCAACCTCCCTTTCCATGCACAGCTCCCAGGAGTCTTCATTCTACCACACTTAGTGGGCTGACCACAAAGCAGATGCCCCTTGAAGAAGTAAAGGCATGCACGGCCCACTAGACTTCCCAAGGCACCAGACACACTCCGCAGACATATGCCCCCACACACGGTGAACTCAGTCTCAGGCCAGCACATTCAAAGAAATCGCACAATAAAGGGAGCCACGGGCATGTCAGGGTTTTTTGTTTGTCTGTTTGTTTCGCAATGAATACGCAAGTGATGCTTACACTGTAAGTCAAGACCAAACTCAGTGCTATGGAGTTGCCGCCGACTCAGAGTGACCCTACAGGACGGGGAGAGCTGCCCTTGAGGGTTTCCAAGACCATGAACTCTTCCACAGCATCATGGGGAAAAAAGTTTGAAATGTTGTGCAAATTACCAAAATGGGACACAAAAGCACAAAGTGGGCGTGTGCTATTGGCTAAATGATGCCAACATACCTGCTGGACGCAGGGTTGCCACAACATCCAGTTTGAAAAAACAACCTCACACTTGGGAAGGGCACTAAAGTTAATGCTCTAAAAGAGGTGTACATACAGGTGGGTCGCCAAGGAGCCTGGTAGGAATGGCACATGTGTTGGGCTAGTAACTGCCCAAGGAACGGTTTGCAGCTACCAGTCTCTCTGTGGAACAAGATGAGGCTTTCTGCTCCTGTGAACAGTTGTAGCTTCAGAAACGTCTGTGCTAGAGGGTAGCTCTTGGTCAGAACTGGTTTTGTGGCCATGGGTGAGTGAACTGTGGTCCGCCAGAAAGGAATCCCGAGCATGGACCTGGAACAAGGCTGAACCTGCTGACCCTGAGGTGGGCATTCTTACTACTGGAGGAAACAGTTGCTCCGCATCCAGCTTTCAGAAAATTTAAAGTGCAAGCAAATGAAATCAAAGTTGTGTTTTTGGTCAAAGGTAAAGAAAAACCATAAGCAAAGGAGAGTGGAGGTGAAAAAAATAATGGAGTTTACTTCATTAGGCTTTGAAAGCTTCCTCAAATACTCCGGGAACCTTTGGAATGAACGACAATGTCCCAGAATGCAGATAATGCAAGACAGAGAAATGTTAAAAAATAAAGTCACCGTGATGCTGCCGACTTAATGGGAGCTCACAGCAGCCAAGTTTTTGACCCACTGACGGAATTACATGTGAAGTGTAACCTGTGGTACAGCACAGCTTGACACTCCTAGAGCCCACCTGCAAAACAGTACCTGTGGAAGGGGAATAACCTCTCCCCTGTTAGAGGAGCCAGGCATCCTTAAGCCAGTGAGGTAATATTTTCAGAGTGTGTCCTCCTGAACTCCTGTCACTCCAGTAGCCACTTTCCCTGGCCATTTTGGAGGTTTGTTCCTGGATTTGAAAATGGTAATAAAGTTCGTGAGGATGCTAGGCATGTACTTCGTTCAGTAGGCTATGCAGAGGCAGGGTTAATCAACACAGGAAGTAAGTAGCCTGTGACACAGGAAGACTGCTATCACTATCTTAGGATGCTTTCTTTTATGAAAAAGAATATCATTTGAGATCCACTATAAATTGTCTTTGCCTGAGGCTATCAGGCAATGACTTGGATAACATTATTTGGTCTGCTAAACACACACACACACACACACACACACACACACACACACACACAGAAGACATGACACCCAATTTCTCTCAGCCACTAATTTTGCAGTTGAATCACTGAAGACAAAACAAAACAAATCCTTATTATCCTGAAACTCTTGTCTGCCCTTCGGTCAAGGGTCAGCAAGCATTTTTAATAAGGGCCAGAGAGCAAAGAGTTTAGGGTCTGTAAGCCACACGCGATCTGTCACAGCCACTCAAGTCTGTCCCCCCAGCTCACAGGCAGGCCTGGACAAAGTGCAAATGAACTGTGGTGGCTGTGTTCCGATAAACCTTTCTTTATGAAGGCCAAAAGTTATGCTTTGGGGAAAAAAATAAATTTAACATTCATGGGGGAAAAAACTCCATTATCTTTTGATTCCTGTTTTCCATGAACTTTTTGAAGGCTTCTTCCCCTTCTACATGATGGACCTTGCATTAAAATGCTTTCTGGGAAGGGATTATGTTTTGTTTTGTTTCCTAACCTTTTAAAACTTGAAAATCATTCTTAGCTCACTGACTCCTCTCATATGCCCCGGTTCCCGGGGCCACTCAACGTACATATATTCTGTGAGGGGCTCACTTCTAAAGAAGACCCAAGAGATAATGAGTTCAGGTTTAGACCTTGATCTGCTCATTATAAAAACCGTCTCTACTCTTTTTTCCCCGTCTCTCCCAAGTTACTGATCAATAAGGACATTCCCCAGCTTCACGCCACTGAGCCTTTCAAGACGGCGACCCTTCGGCCTCAGCTTCACTGCTTACTTAGCCCCGTGTTTTCAAAACAGGAGGACATGGAGAGCAGGGAGGGCGGCATTCGAATCTATTAGGGATCAGACAGTGTTCTCGGCACCCATCAAGTGATGAATTCTCACTGTCAGGATGTCTTTTCTGAAAAGCAACACTCGGCACAGAAATGAAGAAGTACAATCTGAAATGAGATCCTAAGAATTAAAAGCGCGCGGGGGTGGGGGGTGGGGGGGTGTTGAGTAGAGTACTCTCATCCTCGCTTCAACCCAGGCCAACAGCTTCCACTGGATTTCAGTCCTTCTCTTTCCTGGTGATGCCGTGGGTTCAGCACCGGGCTGCTAACCAGGAAGTCAGTGGTTCAATTCCCCCACCAATCCAGATGAGTGGGGGCGGGGCGGGGAATGAGTCTGCCACCCAGTACAGATTTGCAGTCTTGAAAATACTAAGGAGCAGAGGGTTCCGGTCGGACCCTTGAGTCAGAATTGACTCAGTGGTGATGGGAGCTTCCCTTCCTGCCTGTTCCAAACGATGAGGGAGAGAAATGCTCACTTGGAAAGTCACGAACACAGACAAGTGATTTCATCCTTTTTTCTTATAAAGGTACAGAGAACATACAGCTCTTTGGGTCAGAATGACCAGCCCGAGAGTTGTAGATGTGAGACTAAAGCTCCGTTACACATCTCAACTCTGAAATCACCCCTCATGTCACAAAATCCAATTTTTTATTCCGGGGCGCTCCAATGTGTGGAAGACTGTATTTAGGGGCATTTTTGTGACTTTATGTAAAGTGAGACCTGACCAGAAGGTCATCTTGTCCTTTTTCTAGGGCAAGAAATGTTGATTTGTACACGCTACACAGCTGGCTGCTGCTCAGATCCTGAAAGTGGGTATGGGGTGGAGGAAAAGTAGTTCTTCCCACAGTTTGTTTCTTATTTGTTTGTTTGTTTTTCGGGCTCCCTACACTTAACATATACTTTGGACATGTGGTCAGGAGAGACCAAGCCCTGGAAAAGGCCATCACGCTTGGTAAAGTAGAAGGGCGGCCAAATGGGAAGACCCTCAATGAGATGGATGGACACAGTGGCTGCACCGATGGGCTCAAACCTAACAATTGTGAGGATGGTGCAGGACCAGGGAGTGTTTCCTTCTTCTACACACAGGGTCCCTGTGAATTGGAACTGGCCTGGCAGCCCCTAACACCACCAATAGCAGCACCCACACAGAAATCTAACAAACACGGAGCAGCTGAGCATCTAGCAGCCTGGATCAAGAGAACTTTGATTTTATGGGCAGATAACCCAGAAATCACCACAAAATTATAATGGGGGAAGTGAGGAAACACCACTCCTCTACTCTGACAAATCAGCCAACTGCTAAGGGTCCCTCTGTGTATTAAAAGGTTAAAAGGAAGGTGCTGAGGGCAGCTCCACACAAGCCAGAGGAGTGCCCCCTTAGAAAATTTCTTCGAGCTCAAGGTTTTGGATCTTAAAGGCAACCAATGAGCCAAATCGCCCAGCCTAAGAAAGGATGGCAGCCCTGTACTGAAGAAATAAATGGTTTTCAAAACTACTGATCACACATAAGCTGTAGACTATAAAGGACAGAAGACCAACCATCTTGCCCTTTTTAGCTAATGCACTGCATCTAGATCCCAAACAAATGGACACATGTGAGTGAGAAAGATGGATGGCGATTTGAATTAACAGCCACTACTTAGAACCCTGAAACTGTCCAAAAGCAGCTTCTTTTCAGAGGCATCCTTAATCCCCAGAGACACCTGAGGAGGCACGCCTCTCAGACTCGCCATCTGCCTTGACAACTGAGTGCCCCACTCCATCCAGGGGCAAAAGTCACTGTCACACCCCAAGGATAAAAGATCGCATGAAAACTACACTCATTCCTTCCCAACCGATTGATAAGACTGGTCACCCAGACAGCTACCTTCTGCATGTTTGATTTGGAGAAAGAAAATGACAACCAATCAGGTTCATCCAATATCCAACCTTGAAAGTCTACGATGTGTTAGCTAAAGATTCGGACCAAGGACCCGCCCCTTCTGTCTCTCCAGTTGTATCCTAGCACTCACCAATGGCTCTCAGAATAATGACTTTTCAACTCTCCTAGAGCTTTGATTACGATGAACACGGGCTTACTTAGGCAAGTGAGTGACTCACCTCTTTCAGAATGATTTGCAATAGTAATGACTGGAGCCAAAAGGAACTTCTAACAATTTTTGACTGCTCTGACTGAGCAAAATATTCCAACATCCCACTCTTGACTAATAACAGAGGCAAATATTAAATCAAACAAGCTCAAAAGGTTCTTAATGGCTTGGCCAGGGCTTGCCCAGCCACGGGCCACTCTATAATAAGTAGGAATGTATTGTCGTTCTCGTAGCTGTTATATTCCCATGGCTGGAAGGGGTGATGATATCGTGGACATTCTATCAAGGTGAGATCTGGGGGTCCTGAAAGTACAGGCCCTACATATTCCATCGGGGAGACTGGAAATTCAGAAGTAAATAGGCGATAAGCAAACAAACACAGTGGGGTGTAACACGGCAGAAACCAGCATGGTGCCTGTGAGACAGGGCGCCCTACCTTCTTTTTGGAGTGACTTCTTTCCTCCTCCTTTGTAGCTTTGTTATTTTTCCCAGTCCGGGACAGCTTCGGCTCTCCAGACTGCTTGATGGTGATCTTGATCTCAGGTGGGCAGATATAGTTCTCCAGGTTCTTTGGGGGTTTCTTGGCCCGCTTTGTGGTCTGAATCTTCAGCTTCAGACTCCCCTCACTGAAGTTCGCTTCCTTGATAGAAAACTCCTGTTCCTCCAGGCCATCTCCTGCCACCCACTTCTCACTGTCCGCATTGGAGTTGGAATCCACATCATGCCCCGAGCCCAGTTCGTCCTCCTCCTCTGGCTCCATGCGTTCTCCACCCACCGGGATCCCTTTCCCAGGTCCTGGAGCAGAAAGCAGAGGTTCCCCTGCACAGCTGGGGGCTGCCAGGGGCTTAGCTGAGGACGCTGGCAGGAATTCCGACTCGCCCCCTCTTTGCCGGGAGCTGCTTAAGATTTCTCTGGTCTCCATGACAATCCCACAGTCATAGGAGCGCTCAGGAGGGTGGAGGCGCAAAGGGACAAGGAGAAGGTGAGAAGCTCACACACCCAAAATCCCGAGAGAAGAAAGTTGTCCGGCTGGTAGGTTCAGAGTCCCAGGGATGGAGACACGGCGAGGTGCTCAGCAGGAGTCAGATCTGTAACTAGAAGCAGGGAGATCATTAGGCAAGGCAGCAAGGACAAGGACCCTCAATTCAAGCAGCTCAATATAGGTTCCCAAAGGCCCTTCCCATCTATCCACGCATCCGTCAAACTAACAGAAAGGAACCCAACCGGCATGTGCACACCTCCAGATTAGAGGATACACAAGCAAAGGAATGCACACCCACACAAATTCATACCCCCATACCCGCTCCCCACCACCCGTTTCATACTGGATTGTTTTCTAAGTCTTGCTTGATTTGGAGCTCATTTATATAGTGAGTAGGGCTGTGGGCCCAAGTATAAGAAGCAAATTCAAGCGTGATGGTTACCTGAATATATGGGAAGGCAGTCAGTGGAAGGAATGGGGAGCTGACGGCAATGATGGTCATACAACCTCGCTCAATGAGATTGAACAATAGAATTGAATGTGAAAGGATATATTGGATTGGATTGTGTGAGACACATTAATAAAACTATTGCATATTCAAAATATGGGGTGGAGGGCAAGTTCTCCAGACCTGTTACGAGCTAGTGGTTTCTTTGGCTGAAGCCACAACTGGGTGAGCGCCCATCAGCACCAACCGCGGCAAAGGGAAAGCTGAAGTGTTGATGCTCAGGTCTATGGGAACGGTCACACATGGGCTTCTTGAAACCCTTTCCTCTCGAAAGTGAAGCACAGCTTGCAAAGTGGATCACAGGCCCCAGAGCTGCCCGGACCCCGCTCTCTGTCCCTGTGGAGGAAGGACATTTAGCTGGTCTCTCCACCTTCCCTTATCATGGTTTACTGTGAATGATTTCAAGTATACAATAGTCTTCCACTCATGCTAAGTGCAAAGCTTAAAACGGGAGTGGGTGGGGCACCAAGAGAGCTTCATGGGAAGTCGGGCACTTAACATTACACTGGGATGAATGCAAAACAAATTCTGAAAATGTTTCCGCTGACACCAAACACACTGAGCTGTTATAAAATATTTAGATAAAAATAGCCACTCTCGTTGGTCTCCATGCCTCGTCTCGTTCCTAAGTGTCTATGTAATAAGACAAAAGAGAGTGAGAGAGAGAGAGAGAGAGAGAGAGCAGATGGGCATTTTACAGGCCTGAGTCCCTGCGTGATACAAACAGCTCAGGTTCATGCACTGCGTTGTGTGGCGTTCAAGTTCACCAGAAGGCAGCTCTGAAGAAAGACCTGCCAATCTGCTTCCAGTAAACCCCGCTGTTGAAAACCCCACAGGGCAGACTTCTACTGGAACACCTATGCTGCTGCCACGAGTCAGAATCAGCTCGATGGCCACAGGGTTGGGGAGTGTCTGGAGTCAACCCCAGGGTCTTCACCTGCCTTGCTGACTCAATCCGACTCTCTCTGGACCATGTCAAGATCAGTTTGATTCACCCCATATCAGACAATTCCCATTTCATACTCCTAATTTTCAACCCCCCCAGAAAGAAACCCAAATATGTATTTGCAAGAGAAAAAGATAGAAGCTGGGGTTGCCCCAAACCTAAAGACTTCATCTTCTCCACCCTCTTCCTGTAGGATAGATCATATTTCAGCCTTCTTAACAACCTAAATTTCTACGTCTGAGCCCTTCATTCCAAAGAAGTGGCAGGCCATTGTAGCTACCAGAGAATCCCAACAAGGCCTGAAGGGTCACGTTCAAAACAGCCAGGAGCTGAAAAAGTACCATTGGGGGTGGGGGGTATTTTCTCTCCCTGGCCTGCGCACATTTGCAATGGATGCCCACTGTGGAAGCTCACCGCCAGGACAGCCTGACTCATGAACCCCACTCCCCAGAGACCCCCGGGAATGCACTCAGCTCCTGGAAGCTGCTCTGCGCTGCAGAAACACACACACCAACTTCCACTGAGAGGACAGTCGGTGACTGCAACCACTCAGGAACAGAAGAGGCTGCCCTGGCAAGGAAGGGAGGATCTTTACTGACGCTGTCAAGCACACACTGAGCAGCAGCCACCTGTGATCTATGCAACAAAAGGGACAGGGTCCCTCTCTTGGGAAGAGGACAGGGCAGCCAGACTAGAGGACATTAAATGTTTCCTTCATTTGGAAGATTCCTTGTGTCATCGAGACTGGTTTGCCCACCTGCCCACAACCTTATGTGATTTTTAAGAATTCATATTCAAGTCCACCCTCATTGAGGCCCACCAAGCTGCCGCAATCTAGCACCAAAAGAGCAGTCGGGGACATCACAATGCCCTGGAACTGGCTTGTGATTATTAAGTAGCAAAGACCCAGTAAGACCTTCTCAGCATGTACCTCCCCAAACCCTCTGCCATCGATTCAATTCTGATTCACGGAAATCTTAAATAGGATTTCCAAGGCTGTAAGTCTTTACAGGAGCAGACAGCCTCCTCTTTTCCCTGACTAGCAGCTTTGAACCACTAACCTCGCCCTGAGCAGCTTAGCCCCTAACCTCCGAGTGGCATGCACTGTGAGCCATCCTCTATCATCACAATAGCGTGTGGTGGTTTACTTCATCTGAGAAGAATCACCAAAGTTCCCGGTTATATCCCTGATGCCTACTTATAATGTTTTCTTGGATTGGGGTAAAATAGGAGATACACTCCCCACAAAAAGTTTAGCAAAGTTGAATGTAGCAGGATTGCATGATGAATATATTCATAACAATGACCAAAATCATGGGACTGGCTCCTTGGTTTGGAAATTTAGGGTTAAGACGTTTCATGGAGCATCCCAGTAAATTGGCCTAACCACCATGTGTAGTACTTCTAGTCTACCTTTTAGTTCATTGGCAGATGCTAGGGGTCTTAAAGGCCTACAAATGACCACTCACAGCATGACAATTGGTCTCCACTCACCTGCAGGAGCAGCAGAATCATGAATAGGAGGGACAAAAATGCAATGTCCCACTGTCTCCATGAATAACTGGCTCCTTTATCATGAGACTAGGAGAACTGGAATGTGCCCAGTGACATTTCTGAATATTTTGAGCAAAGGCGTCATCGAGGAATCTGTGACTAAAAGGATCAAATGCAGGGCAGAGTTTCTCTTTTTCACGTACTCTAGACTTTCTGAAGCCAGGGAATTAGGATGAAACCCTCAAACTACTGTCCTGAGATAATCTATAAACCTTTCATCCAAAAGATCGCTGTCAGGGTCCTTAAAGCCAAACAAGTGTTTAGTCTGAATATTCAAGAAGGTCTGCAGTGAGCATTTTGTTCCTGTAAGAGCAATCCACACTAGATCAAAGGGATGAGACCAACTCAAGCTAAGTCCACTTGGAACTGGAGTAAGCCCAGGTGTATTGCAGGCTCGGTGTTGTGAAACGGAGACGGAGCCGGCACCTTAAATGAATGGACAGTGGTAGGAGGTGGATGCATTATTAGTATCGTCAACACATCTCCCATACTAAGAAGGTACATTTCAGAGCCTCTGACGTCTAACTGCAGATATCATCAATTAATTCGGTTCTAAAACTATAAACTAAAATAGTAAGACATCCACACAAAAATGACAACTCAATCACATTTTTTTCAATTCTCTTCGAGTGAAAAACCAAAGATGAAAAGCCAATCTCTTTGCTCAAGCAAGTTACACTCCTGGAGAAAGTGACAGAATAACTCTCACAGAGAAGGGGGTTTCTATGCACGAATACCAAGGATCGGCTGAAACGAATCCACTGTGGGTGACCCTGCTGAGACGTGAAAGACAGTGGCAGAGTTTCTAGAACCACAACACATCAGCCACCATGGTCCAACAAACTGACAGGTAGGTGATGGAGGTGACAGACAGGTTTCCACCAGAGCTCCCAGACTAAAACAAGACTAATCAGAAAGGACTGACTATTCGTTCCCAAAATTCACCAATGATAACCCATGGATCACCACAAAATACAGTCTGGTGCAGGGCTGGCAGATGAAGCCCCTGGTTGAAAAGTCCCCCAAATATACAGAATGTGCTCAAGGCTGCTGACAATTGTGAAGGTGCCACAGGTTTGGGCCACATTTTGTTCTGTGGCCCATGGGGTTGGGTGGGTCACCATGAGTCCACTTATAATGTTTTCTTAATTAACAACAATGATAAAAGGCAGAGACAAAAGAAGAAGAGAAATCGTTTTGTGCTTGAGCGGTATGTATGTCGATAAGAAACTAACGATGAGGCTTCAAAGAGAGCACAGGATATGGGTCTGGCCGTGAGGAGTCGGAAGACGTGGAGTGGAAGAAGACAAGCCCAAGACGAAGTGTGGCTCGAGGGTGTGTGCAGGGTTTGTTGAGTAAAGAGGAGCTACTTGGATGAGGGTGTGTGGTATACAGTGAGGACGGGTGAGAGCTACTTGGATGAGGGTGTGTGGTATACAGTGAGGACGGGTGAGAGCTACTTGGATGAGGGTGTGTGGTATACAGTGAGGACAGGTGAGAGCTATAGTGAGACACGCAATATAACAGCCTGGTCATGGGAGGTCCTTGAGTATCATGCTAATATGGTTGGACTTCCAGGTGATGAAATCCCAACGAAAGGATGTCAGCAGAGGCAGACCACTATCGGGAGATAAGCCTGGCATGGGGTGTGAGGCACACGTGAAAGGAACCTGATATCAAAGGCAGGGATCTATGAAGAAGCCTTGGCTGGTATTCAATTCTTGTGGCAGGAAGGCCCATACTAGGGAAGGGTGAGTATGACGTGACAGATGTTATAGATAAAATGATACGGTTTTAAAAAATCTTCAGGCACGCAGCCTCTCCCTAGTGGCTCTATCTGAAGAATCAAGTGTTAGGGCTCATTAATGGCCAATTTGCATTCTTGACTCAAATCAAACCAGTTTCCATAGAGGCACTTCCCATGCAGAATTATTTCTGTCTGGGTATCTTTGGACAATCTTTTCCTTATGCCCCCCTCCGCTGACCCAAGCAATGCCTGGCATACGTTCAGCAGTCTCCAAATGTTTGTTACATGAAGCAATCAATGAACAAACAGCTATGCCCCAGTCTTGCCTTCACCATGGCAACATTTTGAGAACTCTGG